GGTGACCCAACAGGTCATGGGAGGTCTAGTTATTGATAAATATCAGGTAATTCTGTGAAAAGAAGTTACAACAATTTAATTACTTAATATCACAGGTTCATTTTAATCCAAGAAACACTTTTACACTCTTTCCACTTGGATATTAGATAAAATAAAATAAAGCTTTAAACATCTACAGATATTATATTCTAGGCTGTTATTTGACTTTTTGTAAATTAGTGATCAGAATGATTGTGGAATTGAGAGACAACTCAAAATGAGTGAACTGTTTTCAGATCAACAGACGATTCAAAACTAACAGATGACTCAAATTAAAATGGATTATGCTATGGTTAACAGATAACTCAAGGTAGACTGGATTATTTTATGGTTAATACATGACTCAGGATAAACTGGATTACTTTATGGATAACAGTTGACTCAGGGTAAACTGGATTATTCTGTGGTTAAAAGATGAATCACAATGAAACTGATTACTTAATGTTAAAAGGTGGTTCAGGATAAATAGATTATTATATTATTTACAGATGGCTCAAGATAAACTGATATGTTCTGGGATTAAGAAATCACACAATCAGTTGGGTTGTTTAAGAACTGGAAAATGCCTCACTCAACTTGATGAGAAACAAAAGCTTTAAACTTACATTTTAGTTCTGAAAACAACAGCTTATAAATCAGGTATTTATTCCAACTAATACAACCACAACTTATATAAATACTCAGACACAAAGCAAAGTTTATTTCAGTCACACTTACATCTATAAAACTAATGGAACATAAGGTGAACTTATTAGTTTCCTAGGATTCTTCTACCTCATCATTCACCCACTTTTTACTGTTTAGATGCCTTTATTTTTCAATTATTTATGTCTTGATTGATAAATTTACAATAACAATTATGATAGATTTGTAGTCGAGGAAAAGTTACATACAACTTGATGCTAATGAAAATTTTTTCTTTAAATATCCAACTGGCACTAGTAAATTCAATAGTTTTATTCAGTTTCGAATTAACTTCAAATATTAGTAAAACCAGATATTAAAAACCATTTACATGGTCAGGAAGGGTGATGAATCATACAAATGAAATAGTTTTCATTTCAGTTAATAATTACAGATCATGTGTCATCAACTTTAAATGTAGAGAAGTTTAAAACCTTAGTATGACTGAAAGTATTGTTGTAAACTATATTTTCAGTGTTTTAACTTGGATGGTAGAGTGAACATGAAGTTAAGATGTAGCAAGTTTGATGAGGATCTGTGTAAAAGTTTCATTCAGTTATTGAAGTATTTAGTGAGAAGTTTAATTCAGTTAGTGAAGTATAGTGAATGAGTAATTAATGTCAAAGTGAAGTATTTAGTGAGAAGTTATTGAGTTCAGTGAGTGAATAAAATCACTTACAGGAGTGAGATTTATCATGTCCATTCTCTTAGTCACGGAGTTGTTTTTTATTGAAAAAAGCTAAGTAGCTAAGTTAGGTGTGTCTCCCAATTTGTATTAAAATGTTGTATTTGAAGTTAGGCCTACATTTACTGGCAGAGTGTATATTGAAAAGTTATTTATGAAATTAGGCCTACAACTTATAAGTGAGTAATCTTCAAAAACATTAAGGAAAACGGAAATCAATTTGTTACTTGGCCTTATTTTTACCATAATTTATACTATCTTTAAGGATTTGTAAAAAGTTCATCAGTTTTTAGAATCCTCCAGTCGTAAACATAACAGTCTACAATTTACATCACCTTACATTTCTAGCTAGATGATTTAGTCTTAAAAGAGGACTTGGTAAACATTTGATGTCTACCATCTAAAACAGGTCTTTGTTTCTACTTTGCAATTTTCATACCAGTGTTATTAATGTAAAGAAAACTAATTCAGATGTTGATAAATCATGTTGTTACGTGTCTGGTCGTTAGTTTGTTAATTTTCCGTACAAATTCTTGCCGAGGAAACTTTAGCGATATAAGTCCTTTCTTAAATAAAACTAGTTTATTCTTTCTGAATACAACTTTGCAATACACTTAATTTCCACAGTCACGATATAACAAATGCTATAATTCACAACGAATGAACAATTCACGCGCTTGGCTCAATTGTCGTTTGTATCTCTATCTGCAATTCAACTACATTGTTGCTGTCACTTCTTGGCGGACTTATACATACAAGAATACCGCAAGTCTAGTAAACACTCGAGGAATCACAAACCTTCGATAATATGACGTGTTACTAGCGTCATGTGACCGCCGCTGTTGTAACACTGCCCCTTCCTTAGTATTGTTTGTCCCAAACAATAGCCACTTACATTAAACCAATAAACAATTAACAATAACTTAATTGAATGTACAGAATTTACAAACACAAAATTAAAATTCAACAAAGTCTCTTAATTTTATGGGACGTATCTTCTTTCTTACTGGTCTCCGTCTCATTGGCTTCTGCTTCATGTGGGGTTCATCTGCTTCATCAGGAAACGTCCTATCATTGGTAACAGTCACATCAGTGGTAGTAACTTCATCAAGGGCTTTGCTTTTTCCCTTCTCAAAACCGAGTAGATTTTCTTCACTCGACAGTGGTTTTTTCAGGTGACACGTCTTCAGCAGCGTCATTTGTTCTGCTGTTCACTTCGTCCCAACTGAAATGTCCTGGACCGTGATAACGCCAAAGCCTGTTGGTATGCACCACCTTTGGCTTACCTCGCCGACCACATTTTATCCGGAAAGTCATGTCTGACAGACGATCCACTATGTCATATGGGCCTTCCCATGGAGAAGACAACTTAGGAGACTTCCCTTTGATCTTCCATGGATTATACAACCACACCTTGTCTCCTGGTACAAAGCTGACTTCAGTAAATCTCTTATCATAAGATAACTTTATCGAATCAGCAGACGTTTTCAAGTTTGAATGCACTTGATGGTGAATATCATCCATCCTTTCTGATAACACTTTTACAAACTCTGACACATTTTCAGGCAACTCTTCATAAGGTGGGTGTCCTGTTAACAGATCCACTGGCAACCCGAAGTTCCCGACCAAACATCAACTTTGCTGGAGTGTATCCAGTGGCTTCATGCTCTGCTGTCCTATAAGCCATCAACAGTGGAGGGAGTAAGACATCCCAGTCATCTTGGCAACTATTACAAAACTTTGCCAATTCCTGTCCAAGTGTCAGTTGTACTTTTCTACCATCCCATCAGACTGTGGGTGAAGTGGCTTTGTCCTGGTCTTCAGATGCCAAACAACTTGCAGCATTCTTGGAACACACCTGATTCAAAGTTATGGCCTTGATCTGAATGCAATTCATATGGCATACCAAATCTGAAGAAGAAATCACTAATAGCCAAAGCTACAGTTGTAGCTTCCTGATTGGTGAAATAATCCATCACCA